GTGGTATCCACAAATTGCCCGAGAGATGGGAGAAATGTATAGAAAGCGATGGGAAATATTTTGAATAAAATAAATATAAAAGATTTTTTACAATTAATGTGTTTTCTTTACAAATAAACCGGCAATTAATTAGGAGCACACCTGGTATTTTAAATTTGTTTCAAACCTACTCATAAAAAGTTCTGCTAAAAATGGTGATAGCGGATTTCCCATTGCTGTGCCCTCAGTTTGCTCATAAAATTTATTTTGAAACTGAAAAACATTTTGACTCATACATAACTTTGTTAAATTAATAAGCATTTATTTCATCCTGTTCAATGTTTTGTTCCTTTAGCCAGTCTTTAATAAAATCAATTGTTATATTTATTGGAATATTCGGAAATGAGGCTACTACGTCAAAAGAAATTAACCTGTCATTATTTTGAATGGTATAACCAGATAATTGTTTAAATAAGTCAATATTATTTTTATAATATTTATTTTCAATAAATTATGACAGTTAAAAAGTTTAAAATTTTTCGAAACTCGTTGATTTAAAAAATTGTAGTTTTTTTGGCTATTTTACCCATTTACGAGAAACGAGGTAACTTTTTTCAATTTTTTAGGTTTACATTTTCAACTAGATCTGTAATCTTTTCACGTATCGTTGAAAAATATTGGTTCAGTGAGAATTGAAAAAATGTAGACACAAAAAATATTAATAATAAAAAACACGTCATAGTTATATTAATACCTACTCAGATTCGCATCGAAGCTAAAACATTTATGTCCTACGGTTAAATACTCATGTTGCACATAATAGATGATACGATTTTAGGGTATACGGGATGGTGGCAACAAATTAATTTTTTGTGTAAAGCAACTCGATATTGTACCATTATTGTTAAAAAACTAAAATAATGATTAGCTGTAATATTTTTGAAGATAATACGTGAAACGTTAAGGATCACTTTATATAGTTTCGAAGCGTGTTAGGCGTTAGGCGTTTTGTGTAGGCCACCCAATCGTCAGGATTTCTCGTCAAATTTGTCAACGGTATCACAGACATCAGGAAAAAAAAGTTATTTGGAAAAAAGGTACCGGGGATTCAGAAAAAGAACACTATATATTCTATTTCGTCAGTCGCCACTCAATAGCAATAATCTAACGATTCGTTTATAAAATACGAAAACGAAAACAATCAATTTATAGCCGTTGCGTCGGTTTTCAAAATGTCCGACGTTGTAGTACCCTGACGGATGGTATTTAAGTCAGCCTGATGTATTCGAATGAAAGAAGTCAGACATTCACAGATGACATGGCACAGAAAGTCTGAAAGATGTTTTAAAAGGAATCAATTATTGTCTCCTAATATTTTAAAAAAATCTACGAAACTCGGCAACGCTAGTTTCACGACGAGCAACTGGCAAAAAGGTAACATATACACATGTTGTTTAGAAACACGTGGATTTATCGAATTTATTTATTTAGTTTTCGGTCTATGGTACTGCGTGTTAATCGCGTTACCAGCTCTTATTTAAGACATTTTTAGTTAAAATTATTCAACCTTAACTATACAAAGAGTCGTGAGAAATCCTAAATCTTGTAATGTAATGATATAATTATTTATCATCGGGCTTATTCACTTTAACAATGTCAAATACAGATTACACAATTTGTAATATTATTTCATCGTGAATATCGATGAACAAATCGATCATCGTTTTCGGCGCAGTACGGGCTATGATCGCTAAATTGTCGCTGAGTTATAAAATTTATTCGACCAACACAACAGTTTAGTATGATTATACCACTCTTTGGAAACAATGACTGCTGATAAATAAAAAGTTAAAGCAGACAAAACACCAAAGGACCGTCAAAAATCACCGATGATTGATGAAGTGGCAATTATTTTAATTGGCAATGGAATTTTATTTATAATATATAATTCTTCGGCGTAACAATGGTGATGTTCAACGAAAATCTGACATTTATTGTTCATTGCAATATCCACCTTTGATTTTCACAGTAAAAAATGAATGTTATTTTAATTATAAAATACGAATAGAACCTGATAATAAAGTTAATGCTATCAGCCAGTACTCATATCGAATGATGAACCGTAAAATTATTAAGAATCGTATTTTGAAACGTAAAAAATTGCTTCAATATTACATTGCCGACATAAAAATTGAGACAAACGACTGTTATTCATCCAATTTAATAAAAAAAAGTTCTTCTTCTCCAGCTTTAACAGTCCATTTAGGACCTTCCCTGCCTCTAACACCTCTCCACCTATCTCTGTCTTCGCTTTCATCATTCCTCATTTTTTCTTAAATTTCCGTGAGATCCGTTTACACCCTGTCTGCCCATCACTGTCTTGGTCGACCCTTGTGTCTATTACCGTTTAGTCTTAAAGTAAACAGTTTTTTTGCCATACCTTTCGACCTCCAAATATGACCCGCTCATTTTAACCTTTTACTTTTTAGAAACGAACTAATTACACATTTGGTACAATTTTTGGTTAGTTCTTCATCTATATTAACCACTTTCCATTACAGAGCCATAGATTCGACGTAGTACTTTTCTTTCGAAAATTTTTATCTTCTTCTCATCTCCCTTCGTCACTGACCAGATTTCACACCCATACGTCAAAACCAGTCGAAAAAAACTGGAGAATAGATATGCTATAGACTTCCTGGACAGTAGTTTGTATTTAAATAATTTCCCAAGTGCATAATATCCCTTGTTTCCATTGTTTCGACTGTTTATATTAGTTCCTAAGTACCTAAAATCTGTTACTTGTTGGAAAACATCCATCCACTAGCAAATCAGTTTGCGCTCTCGCTTCTCTTGATACTATTAGGTAATTAGTCTTTTCTTGATTGACTTTCAATCCAATCGGTTCCGCTGCTTTTATTAGGCCAACGGTCCTCTATTACACTTCGTTTCGGGAAATACAAATTATAACAATATCATCTGCGTATGCAAAGATAGTGTTCTGTCCCAGATTTTTCATACTTTGTCTAGCGGTGGGAGATCTAATTACTCTTTCTAACACCAGATTGAAAAGTACGGGAGAAAGCACATTTGCCTATCTTAGTCCAGCTCTAACTTCAAAATTTTTTGATAGTTAATTCGCAAATTTTACTTTACAGTGTGTTTCGGTATTGCACTCTTTTATCAGCTGGATTAATTTGGTTGGTATACTAAATTCTTCCAGTACTGTCCATAATTTTTCCCTTCTAATACTGCTGTAAAAAAAAGTTACGTTCTGAAATGTATATATATTTGCCTGATGCAAATTAATTGTAATATAAATAATATTAATGATATTGATAAAATAGTTAAATGTAAATGAAAATTCATAAAACTTATAACAGGAATAAAAATAAATGTTGTCCCAATAATACTTTTCACGTGTAAACAGCCGTCTAAGTTTAATAAAAATATGCCATTTCGTATAAAACTAATCGCTTATTTTATATATTATTATCATTTTTTAAATTATTAGTGTCAATAGTTATGAATAATTATTATAGACAAAAATTTCGCTATTTTTTAAATAATTTCTTTAGAGTATAATTTAATATTTAAAATTACAGTATAATAATAAACAGTAAATTATCTGGCATTTAAAAAATTATTTCTTTTTATTACTAATAAAAGATTATTAGATATAATGTAATTGTAGTTTAAAAACTATTAAGTATTACTTTATATTTAATATTTTCATTTAATTACAATAATATAACTTATCTTAAAATTTTATGCATTTTAGTAACAATACATAGTCTTAAAATACATACAAGATGATTCTTTTAACGCTAACCACTCAAATTTTCTTAAAATAATATCTTTTTTGTGAGTTTTTTTTTTTGTATTCTGTTAGTTACATATGTTATATTAATAAGGGCAGGTAAAGGGTCAGATTTATAAAAAAATATACCAAATGATAGGTAAAGACATTATGCATCTATAAAATAGAATTATATTGACTTGGTAAGTTTGATAAAATTATGGCAGTTTTAAGTAAAACAAATTGAAAAAATTTCGATAATTAACGAATTTTAAATTTGTAATATTTTTGGAGTTTCCCCCATTTACGTGAAGCTAGGGAAATTTTTTCAATTTTTAAGGGTAATGTCTTCGACTAGATACGATTTGTGATCTTTTGACGTATCGTTGAAAGAAATCGGTTCGGTGAGAGCTGAGAAAAAATGATAACAGACACAAAAAAAATAATAATAATAAACACATCATAGTAAAATTAATACCTTCTCAGCTTCGCATCGAAGCTAATAGTCTTTAGAAAATGCGTTGAATATGACAACGCACCACAATTTTTTACTTTCCTTGGCGATACCTAATTGCTAGTCGGAGTATTTTCTACTCTGTCACCGGTTGGGTTGCATGTCGTGCACTCGTGGAAATTTCTCAAACGCAATGTTACAAGTTGCTATTTTGAATCCCCCCCTGTTGGTAGGAAAAGGATCAGATTTTCAAAAAATTATACTAAATGAATTATCAAACATGTAACATGTTATTTTTTCATTCTTGGAATTATTTTAATGTAACAATAATTTTTGAAAGTTTAATCTCAACAATTTTTTACTATAATTTACCATTCTAATTTTTGATTTTACTTCACCTTTAATTTTTTTATTTTTATCATGGTTTCCTTTTTTACTCTACTGTCTAATATATTCGTCATATTAAGAAACAAACCAGTAGTATGGCCAATTGATGTTATATAAATTTAAAAGTATTTTTCGCGAAATCGGATATGCAATAATAGTAATAGTTATGAGTTTTAATTAGATTTCATAACTTTAATCAGTTTTAATAATATAGCTGTATTTTTAAAAATAATATTTTGTCCTTGAAATGTCTTGAACAACGAAATATGTGTAAATTTAAATAAATTAAGAATTATTGCAATACTAAAATATAATAAAAATTGTATATAATGGAAGATAAATATAATCGTTTATTATTACTTTAGTACTGTTATACTATTATTAATAATTTTATTTTACAGATGTATTAGTCATTTTTAATAATTTAAATCAAAAAAATGTTATTTCGATTATTTATTTTTAATTTTTACAGTTTTTGGATTTTAAATCAAAGTTCGATGGTTTCTTGTACTTTTAATTTACAAGAATATTTTATATATGTTATCAAAGTATTTAATCATATTCGTAGACAGGATGGATGGGATTTAGAAAGTTCGTATTTTTTCAGGACAGGAGAAAACTCATATAAAATGTTTTATCTTAAAGAAATTTTAACGGAAGCAGTAGATGAAAACAATTTTGTAAATAAAATACCAATGATAAACATATTAATCAATCTTAGATACACTGAAACTGTGAAAGTATTTAAACATCTTTTGTGCCGTTTTGTTCAGAAATGTGACGGATTACATAATAAAATGGAATTTATTAATTGCTCTAAGGAATTACGGAAAACAGTAAATAAGTCAAGTGACATGTTTCGAAAATTGCTACATGCTGCAGTTTTCTTAAGTAATATTATTGATGAACTAAATAAAAATTATAAATTAAATTTAATAAGTATTAATAACCAAATGGCTCTAATGTATGGTCTTACAAAAAAAAATGCCAGTGAATATAATAGAATACATATTGCTAAAAAGGTAGTAGCAAATATTAGAAATCTGATTTATAAATCAATAGACAAAAAAACAATAATTGAACTTGACAAAATTAATATAAAATCGATATATTTCACTGAAAATTCAGTTCAAGCTACTTTACTCACTCTGTATGGTATAACTATAATGCCGGATACTCAGCAAGTTACTGACACTATTGAAGATCTTTCAAGTACTTTAAATTTGTTTTATTTAACAACAATTCAAAACGAATTTCAAGGTCTGGGCTTTGAAAAGCTGATAGATCCTAATATTATAAAGTAAGTTTTTATGCTAAAATTTAAAACTATATCTCAAAAATATAAGACACATTTTTTCAATAGAAATAGATAATAATTCAATAGTCAATTTTTCAAGAAAGCATAAAAATAGAAAAATGTTACTTCTTTTAATAGCTACAGAGGTTAAAATTGAAGTGCGGCTAGTTTACCATATTTCACTATTTTTTCTGTGTATTATGTCGAAGTACGTTTGTTTCATGCAAACTTAATTTAGGACTTAAATTCTTAAGACTCTGATACAATATGGAAGGGGTTCCATCGTATCGTAAAAAATTCTGCTGNGTATTATGTCGAAGTACGTTTGTTTCATGCAAACTTAATTTAGGACTTAAATTCTTAAGACTCTGATACAATATGGAAGGGGTAATCGTAAAAAATTCTGCTAATATAAATAAAATTTAATTTTGTAAACAAATATTTAATAACCTGAAAATAGTAATTTTTGGATTCATGTTTGTCTAGTTCTGAGATATAGAAATGTCTAGTAAAATTTGTTTATTTTTGAATAAAACTAAATTATATGCATTAGACTGACTAAAAAAAATGTTTTGTTTTTCTAAAAATTAATAGTACACAACAAAAGAAGGTGGCAACCGTTCAAATTTGAGCTTTTTTAATCAACCCTAAAAGATTGCTCAAGAGCACTTTTCTCCCCATTTAAATAACATGATAAAATAGGACTTTTGTAAAAAATCGTTAAATTTTTCAAAAATTATATATATTTTTAAAACTATTTTTGTACATTCTAAAAGCTGACATTTTTTGTAATAAATAGATATATTTAATTTGATAAATTTTTATCAATCTTTTCGGCTTTTAAAATTTTTAATATCAGAATAATGCTAAACTGTTTGAAAAATTTTAATTAATGATAAATTAAGGTATTTATTTTTTTTACAATTTGTCAACCCTAACCGTGCACCAAAGGAGTTGAATATTTTAATTTGGGGGAAATTTATATAGAATGTATGACAAAAGACACTTTCTACCTATTAGTTGTTAAACCAAGTGCTTCGAGTAACGAATCGCTTGTGTCCTTGTTAATTGCCATACCAGCCTTTTAATTTTAAATAGAATAGTACAGGTTCATTGATAAAGAATCATTTTTCAACATAGGAACATAGAACGACCTAACAAAGAAAACGTAAAAGGACTATATAATTATCAGCTATCATTCGAGTATGATATGAAAGAATGAGAACATCTACCAGATTTTAATGAAGATATATAATAATCATCTATTATTAATAATAATAATAATCTAAATTTGTATACGATGATGATCGATTTGAATAATTAATATTATATTTATTATATTAACAATAAAAAAAAATTGTTTAATATTTAAATTAGTTATTATTTAACTCTATGTAGTTTTTAATTAATAAATGCCTGACATGCAAAAAAATTATTTTTATTTTTAAGTTAATCTTTATTATAATTAATGCTCGGAAATTGATGTTTTTTTTAATCAATAAAAAATGGACTAAATAATAAACATATTTATTATTTTGTCTTTTTTGTAATTATTTGGCTATTTTTTCTTTTAGGTCATTTATTGCACTTAATCTTATTATTTTACAACTTTTCAATGGGTAATTAAAAAAATTATACTCTTTTTTTATTTAAAAATTATGTTTTATCAAAAATTCTTTGAAATATGATAAAATATTTTAAACAATTTTTAATCCTTGTAAAGGTTTTTTTTGTTAAGTAATTTCTATAATATTAAAAAGTCATTTTTTAAGGTTTTCAACTTCTCAGTCCTAGTTATTATAAAACACTTTTAACGGATTTTTCATGATTTCTTATCCCATATATAATTTATTGAGTTAAAAAAATTTTAAAAATGTTTTAAACTGCGAACTCTAGTTTCTAACCACTTTACTCCTACATGATAAAAACCCGCTCATAAACCACAGCCCTATATTACCAAATGTCGATCAATTGTAACATACTTTAATACATAACCACTTCAAATTATTGACAATTCATTGATTATCATAATTTTTTGTGTAGTTAGTTTTGAGGACAAACTTAACCAGGCAAGTACTTATGAACCAACACTAACAGAATACTAGGAAAATCCCGTTGAACCCCTACATCCCAACAAAATAGTTCCGACCGACATTACAAAAGTCATTTACAATTTTAAGTAATAACTGAAAATGAGACGTGGATGCTGCTATTTTTATCACTACACATTTCTCGGGCTCTCTCCTTTTCCCGTCTAGATATAAAAATGTTAATAACTTTTCAAATACTAGTTCAAAAGTTGTTAACGGAATCATCATTTTTATAATTAAAACATTTCCTAATAAATAAGCTAGTCAATTATATATGTTGCTGTTTGAAAAATTGAAGATAATACTCTGATATGTAGGGTTCGGGCAAAAGCGTAAAGCATTTGAGTAAATGTATTTGAATAAAAGTATTCAAATACTTTCATTGGTATTGAATAGTATTTTTAAATACATTTAATAAAAAGTATCTGAGTAGTATTTTAAATACAATTATTTAGTATTTAATACTGTTTAATATTCAGTACTATTAATATACTTTTTTTTTTTAATTTGCTAACCGTAACACAGCAAGCAAATTAAACTCAGTCAAAATGAAAATTGAGAATAATTCTCTGTTATTTTATATGTTACATTATAGTATAACATAATTATTGTGCTTATATAAATGCTATTATGTATACATCTATTTGTAATACATCTNTATTATGTATACATCTATTTTTAATACATCAGTTGAACCTACAATAGCCTATTGCAGGTTCAAATGATTTACTCTATTGTCAATAAGACATACTTTACAGGTTTTTACACGTGTACTAATATTTATTTTTTTCACTGATTAGTCTCCAATAATTAATTTTATTTACCTCTAACAAAAAATATCGAAAATAATAAATGAGTTCTCTTAATTTAAGAGTACTCAATATTTGACTCAAATTACCCTCTTGGTAATTATTTAGGTGGAACCTTTTGCTCTTAGTTAAAATAAAAACATTATTATTATTTTTTAATTGTATTCTTAGTATTTGAAATACTTTTGTAAAGTAATTGAGTATTACTCAAATACTTTTGTATGAAAAGTATTCAAATAGTATTTTAAATACATTTTTTTTTAAATATTTGAATATTATTTAAAATACTTTTTAAAAGTATTTTTTACAACTACGGGTTCGGGGACTTTGCGTTAAAAAGCCCAAAAATATGTATTTAAATATGAATCAAATATAAACTATTGATAATTATCAATAGTTTAATTATATTTTATGCAGTAATATATAATATATAATTTTTCAGTGAAATTTATGATTATAGAATATGCGATAAAAATCAAAATTTACAAGATTATTACATCAAAATTTTTTTAGTGATATTTTGGAATTTCGCTTGAAGTTTCACCTTGTCTATTCAGTTGCGATTTCTTATAAGCATATTTGGGTTACTATTAATTAGTATAATTAATTATAAATTTTAAACATATTTTATACGTGTATTTTTTTAGTTTTGCTATATTTAAAAATACATATATCTATTAATTTTTTTTAATTTGGAAATTATGACTATGTTTTGAAACATCACAATAATATAACAATGTAATTCAGTATAACATTATATTGAATTTTCTGTACAGAGATACGTTATTAATTCATATTTATAAACATGATTAAACATAAATATTATATTTATACCTATAGTGGCATTGTCGGAGTTTCGTTTCAAGGGAAACTTTGCTTCTCTTGTGCGTCAAAAATCAAACACTTGCATTTTATTTCAATAATATATTATTAAAAATAAATTTGCACGTGTATCCTCATTATAACTGCATATACTCTACACCAAAATAATTATAATTCAATAAAAATGATATCAATAAAGTAAGAAAAAGATATACTGAATTAATCTTACAAATGTTATACGTGGAGAAAATGGCACTCACACACGTACATTTTGAAAAAAAATTTATTGTATAGTTATTCTGTTAGACATTTATGAGAAACGTTGTAGTGTTGTGTTACGATTACAATCATCAAGCGCTACACAGTTAGTAACATATGACAATTCTGAGGTATAAATATATTCACCCAAGATATGATGTGCAAATTTACAAATAATAATAAATGTGTAAATATATGACACTAAAATTTTAGTATTATGAGTATTTTTTTAATAAAATTGACTTTAAATAAGGTATACATACAGTATTTTCATATAAAGCAAATTAATTAATGGTATTTGTATAAAAAAACAATTTTAAGGCTTCAAACAAAAATTTTTTTGTCATAAATATGAAAAAAAATGTCATATAAATTTTAACTATTATTAATAACATTCATTATAGTTATGTATCGCATAAAATTCACTTTAGAATAACTTAAAATTATAACATTGAGAGTCTATAACAATATCAAAAATATTGTAGGTAACTTTTGTACATAATTCAAAATTCATAAAAAATCATTTTTACATGGTAATATATTACATTGTACTTAATTTAAGTATGGTAATTTATTTTTAAGGTTATTTACAAATAAAAAATCTATAAAATAGTTAAATACATGAATGCAACTTCATTAAAATATTACTATAATGAAGGTAATGAAATATAAAACAAGTAAAAAATGCATATAAGACTATCTTTTATTTGAACCACGTTCGATTCTTTCTTGCGGATCTTCAAAGTATCTTAGTACTTCGTCCAACGATTTTCCTTTAGTTTCAGGCATAAAAAAGGCACCATATGCTGCAGTAATTAAACAAAACACACAAAAAAATGACCACACTGACATTATTCCCGAGGCTGATACTAACATAGGATAAATTTGAATAGCTAACAACATTCCAAAAAACCCACAAGAATAAACCAAACCAGTCATTGTACCTGCAAAAAAAATATACTTGAAACACGAGAATTATTTAACACTATCAGAGGAGTCACAATTAATTTAATTTCCCTATAACGTAAGAACAAATAAAATATTATTTTTTATTAGTAATATCGAATGTTTCCTTAGTTTGACCTTGTCAAACTAACTTATTATATAGTTTTTTATACGTGAGCAGGAAAAACTATGACCTTACCGTTTATAAAAGACGCGTCTTTTATAATGAAAAATTAGTATAAATATGAAACTTGAGAAAAAGTCTGTTCTAAAAAAATATTTACTAATTACATTTCAAAAATAGCACTTAAAATTTCCCTTCTGTAGTCTGTAATCCATTTCATACTACCTTCGTAGAATGTATGGACATAATATTGAGATATCCTTACTAGAATTATTTTTGTAATACACTGTTTATGTTTAAAAAACAGATAGCTTTCGGAATATTATAAAATTAGTTGCTAAGATTCATGCCTTTTAAAATTGATTTATAATATTGAAAATCTAAACATGAAATATGATTACTTGAATTAAAACGTAAAACGTTTTAAAACATTTTACTAGAATAAATCTTTTGAAATAATTTAGATATTTGTGTCCCATTAAAAATACTCAATTTTTCATCTTGAATGACATTTTTATAAATCAGTACTGCACGAGGAAATCATTTTACTATTTCCGAGCACTTTTGAAAGTTTTAAAAAAGCCAAAACATTTTCCCCCTAACAATTTAAATTTAACACATTTCATTATATTATTATTAAGAAAAAACTGCACAACTTTAAAAATGACTTACCTTTAACGCCCATAGGAAATAGTTCACCACACATAGCCCAAGGTAGAGGTATCGTCCCCAAGACGCCGAAGAAGAAGTATAGGATAAACGCGGGGGGTAAGATAAATTTACCGTACGATGGCGATTCGGGTATATCCTGGACGATACACGTGTAACCCATCACAATGCTCATTGCAACAAACATGCCTAGACTAGAGATAACAGTGAGAGTTTTTCGATTGACTGTATATAGGAACGCATACAGAGCACTTCCAGCGATCCGGGCAACCGATAGCCAAGTAGTGATGGTGATGGTGTCACTAGGCACTCGGTAATCCCTAAGTGCGTCTACAGTATACGATACAAGCACATAAACACCCGTACCCTGTTGACAAGCGAAGAATATCATGGCGTGTAACGCTGGTTTCCACACAGACTTTGATGTCCACGCAATAGAGCCTGATGAAACTTTAACGACAGTGCAAGTCGGTAACATGTTGGCCATACCCCACCATCTTTCAGTCGCCTTAGCTTCTTGGTCGAGTCCAGCATGCCACTGCCACATAGGAGATTCCGGTACCGCGAACAGTGCAAGCACTCCTGTTATACTCAGCACAACGTTCATCAAAGACAAAGTTCGCCAGTCGTAGTCGACAGCCATAGCGGGCATAGTATAAGTGCCCAGAGCAACGGCCACGGTGATCAACCCGAAGAAAAGTGGCCGATGGACAGCCGGACATACCTCAGCCAAGTATAAGTACACACATGTGCCAGCGCCTAAAAAAGTTCACGCATAATAAAATAACCGCTGAAATTTGTTTTAGAACTTAATGAATACTATTAACTTTATTACTGCTAAATGAACATTGCACTGAAATCGATCAACCTCGGTAGAAATGTCGACAGATATAAATTGATAAGCATGTATGATGCACCTTTTTTTTTTATTTTAACTTTATAATCAGCAAAAGTTTCTCATAGAAAAATATGGGGGACTAGAGAGAGTGCACATACTTACCGTGAGCTAATGTTGAATGTTCAACGTTTTATGCCGAGGTATCCAAATTGTTATGTTTTAACAACACATGAATAATATTATTACATGGTTTCCATCTATAAATTAGGCAAAAATTATACTTCATATAATAGTGCAAAATTAATTTTAGTTAGTTGGCACGGTATCTTCCTCTCGAGTCTCGTTTTACTACAATAAAAATAGTGTGCAAATAAAGGTGCGTTTATTTTCATAAACGAAATAAAAATTTTATTTTTTTAATATAAATTATACTACATAGAAAACGATTCGACCTTATTACTGGTGTTGTTGAACAACAACACTTTCATTAATTGAAATTTTTTTATTTATATAGCTTTCAATGAACCAAGATAAAATTTTTAGAAAAACAATGTCGAGAAAATATTTATAGTTTGTTTAATCTCGTTTTAATCTCCAATAAATTTTTTTCAACGTTATTAAAATAAAAAAATGTTGTATGGAAATGAGCAAAGTTTTTTTCCGAGTCATAAACAAGTTATAGTTAAAAAACGCTACATTATAAAATAAACAAAACAATCTTGATGATAAATAACTAAATCTCATGATGTCCCAACAGTTCCAGCGTTAGATTTTGTGGGGTCTGAGGCAAATAATAATTGTAAGACCCCTGTTAAAGAAAGCAGAGGATTAAAGTGGGATAGAATCCCCCAATAAAAATCTTTCTTATGTATATCCCTTAAAAAATAAACACTAACTACGCCAAGGCTATGTGGAGCACGTGCTCCACTTGACTCAACATTTCGCCGGCACTGTGTTTTTAACTCAAGTAAGTTTTAAATTGAAAATAAAAAACTATTAAAAAAAATACTATCAAAAATTGATTAAACGTTAAATTAATTTATAATCCGAATCAAACAGATCACCTGAAACTCGGAGTATATCCCTGTCGATTCATTAAAAATAATTACAATTAATGTTGATAGAAATTGTTGCGGTTTATTAATCAAATGAAAAGTATGCAAAACCAATAACTGCATTTTTCGTTCTAAAAATATTTTTTTCAAGTTTTAGGTTTGAATAACAGTGTTATAATATTTAGGTGTTATTTTTGTCAAGCATAAATATTATAACTTATCTTTACAAGGTACATAGAAAATAAACCATTACCATAATGACCGATAGTTGTACCGACCCCAGTGTTATGTAATTATGTTAAATACTTTTAAATTTTAGTATAATTAAATTAATTTAACTTACCCAAAGAGAAGCCCAAAATAATTCTCCCGGCTATTATGGCGTTTAGATTTTCAGCATAGGCTAAGATTATCCAACCCAACACAAGAGGTATATATGATACCTGGAGAGCTTTTCTGCGACCAATCTTATCCGCAAGCACACCTATGATGACCAGCCCTACCGGACACATCAGAAATGGCCCACTTGCTGAAAATGTAACGTTAAGATTAATTATATTAATGTCATAAGGTGAGTTACCTTCAAGGACTAGGTACTTTTTCATTGTCTATTCACATGGTGACAAAAGTAGAACACACTTAAACGCTAACTAATTTCAATACTGCACAACGCAAAAAAATCTCAATTGCCACGTGAAAAATTCCATTGAGGTTTATAATATACCACACAAGTAGTTGTTTGTATATGGACAAAATTGTCAAGATTAGATAAATATTAATACCATTGGCAAGCGTATGACCTTCACAGGTAAACCACACTCGTGTTATTATACACTTAGTCACAGGTAGTAAAATGCATTACAATTATGAGTTCCAAAGAGAAATTATCGAACTGCCTAAATAATTTTTACTGTTGCCTGGGTCGAGTTGTCATCTGTAAAACCATACTCTGACAAATATGAGATCAGCTTTTGAAATATTGAACTAAACAAATACTCGACTCGATTTTTAATTGAATTTTAAGAGTACCAGATAATCATTTTAACTGTTTGACACACTCAATATAAACAAACACGTTACACAAAAATAGTTCCTTAGTTATAATGGAACAAATTATTATTATTTTCAATGGTATATTATTATTATTATTTTTTATTAACACAATGAAATCAAGGTCGCATTACGTTTAACCCAAAAGCGTCTTAGATATTTCCGTCTGCTTCTCTCAGTCAGCCATTCATAAAAATTGTTTTTTTTTTGTTTAGAAATAAATAGTTTTAATAAAAAAAAAAACAACTCCAATGTTTTTACTCGACTTTAGACTCAATTATACGAAGTGGTCAGATGATCGTATTACGAATTATCTCTCTCGATTACTGAACCGAATAATAGACATAGTATTTTTCAAAACAAAGATTAATAATCTAATCATATTCATTGAACGTTGAAATTTTTTTCCAGAAGAGTAGATAAAAGATAAAACTTTAGTAAGACCCACAAAAATATTTTTAGTTAGCATTTCTTTAGTAAACCGCTATCTTAAGTACCCTAAACCGGTACCCTTAGTATAAAAAGACAAAATTTATCCAAATAGCATCCAGTCAATTAAACCGATTTAATGACATTTAATTTTGCTGATAACTTCTACGTATTACAAATTACTTTTATCGAGCTTTCTCAATTTGTAAATAAATTCGTTAAAACAAAGCGATATTATCAAATCACACATAATAGGATATATAGAGTTTAGGAATTATCAATATAGTAAGGAATTGTCATCGAAACATTATTTTTGTGTATATCTCGTGTAGACACGTATTTTATACAAATATATATTATCAAATTCAACCGACTACAATTAAATTAAAGAATTATAGATTAAAATTATAAAATGATGTTTTGCAAACATCTGACACCACAATGCTGGCTAATATATTATCTTAATTACGAATACAACATTTGAAAATTACGGTTAGCTCATAAGCTAATAGAACTTATATATTTTACATTCTACAAAAATCAAGTTTGTTATTAAGGAAGTGTATTTGCAACATTTTCAAAAATACTTTAGATAAAATTAATATTACAAGTGATTCGTAATCATCATATCGAAAATTAATACGCATTTTGAATTCACTGAGAACTTAAATAATTGATTTTCCCTGATAAATACAAATTTTATTCAAGGACACAACATTAAAATCGAGGACACAATGGCGAAACAAAACAATCAATGTTCAAAAAATTCTAACGCCTCAAAAGAACTCGATCGGACTAATAATGTTTTCAAACGATACAAACTAGTGTGTAATCTGATCAAATACCGGTATAGCTTACAACAGAAATTAAACGATGGTTTGATTTACGACAATGTGAAAAAAAATTGACTATGTATTTTAATTCGTTGATTTAATAAATTTAATCAAAAATAGCTCGGCATATTAATTTAGACTATTGCACAAAGGCTTGAAAAATATTTTCAACGTTTTTGGTGAACTTGTTTTTTTCCTGCGCGAATCCGACCTGATGTATTTAACAAATAAAACTGCTAATTTGTGTAATTACTCTACATAAAAATTGGTAAACTTCACCACAAAGAAACATTTAAAACAGCGACAACAACACGCTACACAATGTCAACGTACTGTCAATGCCGAACGAAAAAAAACACGAATAAACACAGTAACAAACGTTTAATTAATTTCGAAATGAACAATTATTAATTGTTCCTGCGTCAATAGGATACACATTGTGTTATTGCAAAAACAGCTTACGTGCCGTTTTCGCGCCTCATGCAATGCACAATGAGTCAAGTAAACATTAGGACAACATCTAGCAAAAATAATTCGCCTGTTAAACTGCCATCGTCTTACACACCTTCGAGTATGTTTTAAGCGGTCGTTTTAACGGTGTTGATCATACTCGAAGGTACTGACAGTAGTATGTGCACACGGACAATTAACTGGCAGCAAAATAAAAATTTTTTTCCCGCGAGAACACGGGGGAAAACCAATTTAATTCGACACATTACAACGACAGCGCTGGGCGAACACAATGACATTAATGAATGACACTTGCTCTGATTGGCCAGCCGGACGAATAAGTGCAGCGGAATAGAATAATCGCGCGAAAGACGTTTCTTACCTATCCACGAGGCTTGTTGGTGATTGACGGCGATGTCGGAGGAGGGCAGGCGCCGGACTTGTGCCAAGAAAATTGCCGAGAAATGAAGAGAACATCCGACGACAAACTGATGAATGGCCATTATACTCGTACAGTACACCTGCAAAACAATTACACGATCAAAACCTTACAGTTGTCGACATTTTCGATTTTCATACATACGAGTCTAACGTAGAATGTCATTTTATCGTGTCTCATGATTGCCGCCAAATTTCACTCCAGTCGATTTATTTAAATTTCTGGTAACGGTCCTCGCGATCCACCGGCCCGCGTAACACAACGGCGACAATTGTGACCGCACATAGGTGTACCCGTCGATCGAGAAATTACACGCAAATCGTCGACTCGGACGGTTTTAAAATATTAACTTTTTAAATAAAAAATGAAATCAAACAAACAACGTAGTAGTCACGAACGGTGGCGTCACGCGTTCAGCCGTCTGACGCTACAATAATAACAGTACATGGGATCCGACTACGGCAGCGGCATTAATATAATAGTATTTAATATAGGCGTGTAACAACGGCAGTACTGCGTTATGAATAGTACCGAATGGTAATTGCGGTAGAGGTGGTAGAGGCGGAGGCGGCAGATGGATGAAGTGTGTAGAGACGGCCGCAGACGCTTATCGGTGCCGAAGGCCGCCGATCGGAACAGTCATAATCTCTTTTCCAATGACTGTGTATTATATGCCAACGATGACTAATTAGCAATAGTAATGCGGAGAGAGTGTAGGGTTCTGTGGCTCCAACGACTTCGCTGTACCCTCAAAATGTGATTGGAGAAAATTTTAACAACTAGTACGAAAGATTGTCGATTGTGCAAAATCGAACGTATTTCATTCTATTATAATTAAATACTCGCGAAAACGGACTCTAAGTACAATTTAAGATAATATTAACCATGTCCTTAAGTTCTTCATTCGATATAAGTTAACGATTAGATTGTACTTTCAACAGTATCCTCTTGACACAATCAACGACTACATACTAAAATTTAATGCACTTGACCCAATACTCGATGCAACGTCTCGATCCAATTTCAACCGAAAACAATGTACACCATTGTATGATTACAGCGAAGTAATGAATAATATACAACTAGGTACTTTTCAAATTATATCACGAAAGAATTTCACGATAACAACTGCTGAGATACTTCTCACGCGAAATCTTATAGACACTGACTAGCTAAACTCAAGTAGTATTCGAAAATATTAATAGAAATGTTTAGTTTTAGCCGTAATCAAAAAAATATGATCGAATTTTTCACTTTTTAAAGTTAACACAGTTCAAGTTCACTATAAATAATACATTTCAGATGAAATACTTCGTGCTAGTCATTTTATTTATTTGTCATGTTAAACGCCATAGATGACTCAAGTACACGAATATGCTTTCAATAAGTGATACAATAGATAATGTTATCTCCAGTATTTGACATAACCTAGTTCAGAATACTTCAAATAGCATTTTTTTCTTTTTTATATAACATGTATTTACACACTTATATGTGTAAAAACTACACTTACAAAATATTACAAACAAGTTACTAAGGCCATTATCTGATAAAAGTCAAGCGGACCTTGATTATTTACAGAAATATTATCGGAAAATTATTAATTATACATCATTAATCTTTGTCATTTTAGTGGATATTTATTAATTTCATCTTATAAAAATAAAACAATTAAGATGTTGGAACATAATGTGTGCTTTCATGAAAAAAAAATGTACATCATTTGATTTTAATTTTTAAATAGTAAAATACACAAAGTTTTGCAGTAAATTTTTAAATACTACTATAAAAAATCCAAAATCCGGTGAACCCTTTTAATATTTTATTAATAAAAAAAATATATTTTTTCTTTTCATCTACGCTTGTTATGCCCTATACAGCATTAAGCCAGTGTATTCAAACGACTCTGTATGTCTCCTATAACATAACTTATTTAATGACATATTCATTGATATTGAATTAGTCCTTAAGGTAATTGCACACGCATATTAGGGACACAATAATTTAAAACATTTTTACTGGAAGTAATTTCATCAGTAAAATTATATAGATTTTTAGTTACAAAATAATTCATTTAAGAAGAGTTTTATGTAATGTTTCTTAGAGCCCTATTTTACCTTCAGCCGACTTCGAGGTGGTTTTGAAAATAAACTCTATTACATTCACTCTAGTCCTAAAAAACTTAATTCTATAATAATAATTCTAAACCTTTCTAGAGAAAAGATTTAGAATTATTATATTCTTAAATTGCGTATGCACTTGGATTTAAAATAATATGGAATACATGTTAACATTAACATAGAACATTATTTTAACATTAAAATAATTGAAGTAAATATATACCGTATATAATATACGTAAATTTAATGTTTCTTATAGTAGAAAAATACAATGTCTGGCGACACAAATATTTAAGTTTAAATTTAAAATATAGAATTATCATATTAAATTTGTATGTAAAATATTTCTTGAAAAGTTTTAATGAAATATTCGAATTTCAGTTAAATTTAAAATCACTAGTTATAACTGAGGTAAGAAAATAATTGTATTGACATTAGATTGGAATGTCTAAATTATATTTAAATATAGGTTTTTTAAGTTTTTCACAAATGTTATAGATTTATTTTCTGGATATCCCTCGTGTAACGAATTTGTATAAGTGTGTATCACAAAAAGTTAATAAGAATAATTATACAACATTTAATTGCTCGCTATAAAATATTTCTTAAAATGCTTTCTTTTTTCAAATTTATTACTATACATCATGCGGGTACCCGTTCTTTGCATTACGCTCTAAATCCTTTATTTGATAATTTAAGTAGCTAGTAATATAATATGTATATGTATATTGATAAATATGTTTTTATCACATCACTCAGTTCATTATGTTCATTAACCAAAAAACAATTTTCTTTTTTCTTTTGTTTATATTTATAGAAAATTACAAACAACAATTACACACTTTTTTCAAAATATCTAACAATATTCAGAATTTTTAATTGCTTATTTCAAATCATATTAAAATGGTATCATACGATAAAAATAAAATTTAAACATTATTAATGATATTATTATCGTAAAAAAAAAAATTTATTTCCTCATATTAATTTATAACCATGGCCATAGCTTTAATGTTCACATTTTCTGCTATTTTTCTGTTATTTAAATATTGAACATTATTTTCAATCGCCCTTTCGCCATATTTTGCTTCTTCAAGCGTCTTGAATCCAAGTGATTCAGCTATACACTGACTTTTATTACTTGTGAAAATTCCAAATATTGCATTACATCCAAAATACTTCATTTCTGGCATTTGATGTGCCACTACAGTTTCCAATAACTTTTTACCTATTCCTGTAACCGGTAAAAATGTATGACAACCCTCTATAGTGGTGACTTAGGCATCTCATGTTTCTTAGACAATAATTAATTTTAATCATTAATTATAATTAAAAGAGTAGATTGTTTAAATCAACTAAATATAGTTTATAATTAATCATTTATTTGACAAATTATTATATTCATGTTCAATTTTTTTATATATTATTTAAAAGTACATCTGAATAATACACAAGTATACTTAATAAAATTGATAAGTAACTGCAATATTTATCAACTATTTAAAACTAATGCGTATTAATAATAGTTAAATTATCTCTTGAGGCTATACTTTAAAGAAAACTGTCTCAAAACAAATAAAATGTTTATTGACAATAGACATTTTATACAATAAATTATTGTATGACTTTAAGATTATATTATAAAAAAATTGCATGACTTAAAATCTTTCAGTGCATGTATGTAAAAAACCGAACATTTGTTTTTAACAATGTAGGTACCTTGATCTCTATGAGACTGGAGTACATACCAAGCATAAACTTGACAAAACACACTAGTTTTATATATTTTATAAATATCCACATTTTGACTGAGGTTATTTTTAAAATATTGTATTTCATTCCATATTTTGCCTTTGTATAGCTTGAACAAATAAAAATTAATTATTGAAATAGTACATGAAAACCTTAATGAGATCTTTTTAATTTAAACTTAATTATTTGTGCCATTAGACACTGTATTTTTCTAGTATAAGAAACATTAAATTTACGTATATATTGAGTAGCATAATTAATTTTTAAGAATAACTTAATAAAATGTGACTATTAGTAGAGTTGAATTAATCAAATTTAAGATCTAAGATTTAAGAAATATTTTGGGTTAGAAGTCTTGTTTTGCCTTCGATTGTGTTAATTAACTAATATTTACCCTCAAACGACTAAAATCTAATGAGTGGTCTTCCTCGGAGCAAACTCGACACACAAGAACTCCTACAATTTTTCCAGAATTCTTTTCTATAGCCACGGTAGTTAATGTATCTAAAATCCAAGTCTTAATGAGTTCCAAAAACTGATCGAAAGACTCTTTATCATTTACCAAGCCACTATTTGCACATAGCGCTTCTTCGTATACATAATAACTCTACAAAAACATTATTTTTTACAATGAAAATGTTCAATAAAATCTTTTTCCATACAATAATATCATTGCATAATATCAAACAACACAACTACTTTAAATAAATCTAAAACTTCTTCTAATCTTTCTTCTGGCATTGATTGAATAAAATAACTTGTATTTAACGTAGACCAAATTCGCGGTTGAGTGAGTCTAGTTATAAATTCTTCTTCGGTCTCTTCTATAGACGGGTCTTGTTTTTGTTTTGACATTGTAATATTAGAAAAATTACCATGAAATTATGTCAGTTACAAAATGAACTACAAAGCTAATGAATATAATAACAAATGAATTCTGTAGGGATAGTATTTAACAAGTATCTACACTATCGATTCTCAGAGATGGTATCCTTAGTTACTTCAATGTTTTCTTGGACGTAAACGACTGAAAACTATCCCATATAAGTGATAGTTATTTTAATAGGATTAGTATTGTATTATATTATATAAATCCAGAATTTCTTTTTCCATAACACATAACTTGTAAAGAAATGTCCAAATAAATATGGTATCAGCTTTTTGAAACTCACTTGGTCGTTTAAATAAATAAAAATTTATTTTTTTTATGCATTATGAATAGTACGAATTTCACGGTTAGTAAAAATATGTCGTTAAGGATCTAATGAAATTAATTAATAAATTAACTTTTGTAACGGTACCTGATATTTTAATTATTATAATATTAAAAATAATAAATTATTTTTATATGATACAAAACTATAATAAAGCTTTGTAAAAATAATTAGTAAATAATATTATAGTATACTATTTTTTTTTCGATGAAGTAATAATATAATTTTTATTAAAGTATTGTAACATAATTGATAAATATTCTTAAAAATTAATTTTTAAAAACATTAGCAATTTTGAAGATTTATTAACTATTAAATCAAAATATTAAATTTACATATTAGCGTAGGTAGCCTTTTTTTCTTTTTCTCTGTATTACATAAAAAACGGTTAGATGAATAGAAATAAAAAAATAGGCTTAAGCCTCCTATTTTATACCGTTTTAACGAATGGTATCTTTTTTTTTCATTAAAAGCGTATAATTATTATTATTGTGTGCTGTTTTACTAATAAAATTGAACAAGTTTCTTATGAGTGACAAATATATATTTAATTTCACATAAAAAAGCAATAAAGTAAACCTTTTGAGCGTTATTTTTTAATAATTGACATATCAATTGAATAGAGCAGATAGTGTTAATTATACGTCGGAGCAGTCATACTGGTGTTTAAACGAACAACACTATAACTTACATATCTAATAAACTGATATACATAAATGAAATTCGTAACAATGTGAATCAATTTAACGTTGAGATTTTTCTTTAAAGTTAAGCACACGCTACAACTATTTATTTATAAGAACAATAGTTAAACAGATGATGTAATGATTGTTGACGTGCTCATAGAAACCATCAAAATTACGGTGACGTATGTTTGCAAAAATTTGACTTGGTGAAAAATTTATAAGAAACTAAATTCTTGTCGGGTTTTCTGAGTTTTTGAGTTATAAATTGGAGTAAATTGGTATATAAATACCTAAAAATTAAAAAAAAAAAAACAAAACAAAATATTTTAGAAATTTGTGTTACAAGAGTTATCAAATTCTAGGTAAATTTTAATATGTTATGTAAATTCTATTACAATAATGAAATAAATTACTAAAATTTATTTTAGATTTCGTCGTGCATAAAAATTCACAGGGAAAATATAAAATTAACATTAACGGTTTGGTCTGGTCTAATTGCTTAATGTTAAACATTTAAACTGTGAAAACGGTTATAATATGATAGAGGTAATTTTATACTTTAATTGGTCCTTTATAAACAAGTTGTCATGTTACAACAATTGATATGCCTTTGTTTTGGGTATTACTCATTTTTATCATTTCGATATACAATACTAATAAAAACATATTACGTTAATGGACCTTGTACTTAATTATGAAATATAATTAAATTTGATATATTTTACTCAGTGAGTAAATTATATCGCGGTTATTTGCAAAATGATGGATATTTTAGCACCCTAAAAACTAATCTGGTTATTGTTTCAACAGAACTACAAAATAATACTGTTTAAACAATAATTTTCCTTGTTATGTAGACATATTAAGCACAATATTTTGCATAATAACGGTACAATAACACACCTATTAAAAACGATTGTATGCTAACATGTGTCTCATGATTTGAATTAGTAGAAAATAACACTCAAATATATGAATTGCAAAAACAATGGTAAATAAAATATGTTTTTTCGCGGGACATTTCAATAGCAACTTTAAGGTCACTTATTGAAACACAAGTCAACTACCTGCTTAATAATACAATAAAATTAAAATGTTCATTTGTAGTACACATATCAATTATTTTTCAAAGATAGTTTTACATAATCTTAAAACAAAAAACATTTACTGGTTTCTCTAATTTAAATAATTAAAATATATTGTATACGAATCACAAAAATAAATTAATAAGTTCATTTTACATTTTAATAGTAACTATTTAAATGTATTAACTGCATTGTTTTACTAGTTAGTATATTTAGGCTATACTTTAAAGTAGTATGAAATATTATCAATCGACAAATAAGTCAATAGTTACTGTTTATATATGTTTTCCAACAAAATAATTATTTCCACAAGCACTTTGATCAGATTTACAATAAAATAACTAATTAATTATTATTAAATATGAATAGTAATCAAGAGTAAATAAATACTCTTAATTCCCGTAAACATTATTAGAATTTAATGAATGTTCACATCTAAAAATATACCTAACTCGTTATAGTACAATAATTAAAACCTATAATAATGTTTGTTATTATTAAGGGCATAAACGACTAGCATAGTTTATGTTATGACATAATCGACAATTTTTTAACTCGTTCGCATCAGAAGTTATGAACAAGACTGAATTTAAGAAGTAATGAGGTGAAATTTCAGTTATAAGTCAATTTTTTTCTCATAATAATATCATTGATATTGAATATTAATATTGAAAATAATATGTAAACATTTTCGAAATGACAAAATTATAATTAAAATTATATATTCCTCTTGATAGTACTTTTTGTAAAAATGAGTATGCTTATATAGTCTATACATAAAACTTTTTTATGACCGCACATTCTCATTTTCTGGTAATCAAATATCAGATTCCTAATTTTCTGATGCTCACACTTAGAGGACAATAATACTATATAATTAAATATAACTAAAAAAAATTCTTGAGAAAAAAATATCGAATAAAATTACTGAAGTATTAACAAAAGTTTGTATAGCCTTGCAAATATTTTATTTAGAAAAAGTTTCATGAGCAAGTAAAAAAATGATTTTAAAGTGATCCCCATAGTAGCCTGGTCTACTAGATCACCTGATCGACTAACTACACCTTATTTTCCGTATGGAACTTTATATTATTAAAAAAAGGGGCAGAGGCTAGGCTTTATAAATAACACGAATAGAAAATTTTCAGTTTCTTTTAATTTAACGAAGATCAGATATAGTTAACTTATAATTTATTGTATTACTCTCAAAAATTAACTTCGCGGGTTTAAAAGTAAGCTAAATCTCATCATGTTATTTTCACGAAAAACAAAAACATGACAATTCTGAATTAAGTATAGTGTTTGCAAAGATTTAAAACAATATTTATGTTACAATATTAACTATACAACAGATACGTGTTTATTATACATTTTACTATTTGAAGTAAACGTAGTTTAAGAACTCTTATGGGTGCGGTATATGAACAGTAATGAAACTGTCAAGTCGCCCTCGTGTAATATAATTGCGGTCATATATTTTATGTTAAAATGTTGAGTACCTGTTATATATCCTACGCAGCCCAACCCATTCCAAACGAATTTCAGTTTAAAATTAAAAAAATTATTGTAAAAATACAATTAATTNGAAGTAAACGTAGTTTAAGAACTCTTATGGGTGCGGTATATGAACAGTAATGAAACTGTCAAGTCGCCCTCGTGTAATATAATTGCGGTCATATATTTTATGTTAAAATGTTGAGTACCTGTTATATATCCTACGCAGCCCAACCCATTCCAAACGAATTTCAGTTTAAAATTAAAAAAATTATTGTAAAAATACAATTAATTCTTGCAAATTTTTATATTTTAGACAATTTTACTTAAATAATTTTTTAAATCTACTAAAACATTCTTCTACTTATAAAACTTATTTACTTATTTACTCGCTAAAACTTTCTTAATTTCTTATTAATACCAAGTAAATAATTTCATAAGAATCTCACAATAAATAATTTATATCATAATACTATAATAACTAACACATTAAGTAATTAACCTTGCAAAATGTACATCATGTTCATAATAAATACTTTGTCTTAGTAACCCAACCGTATTTTAGGATTAAAGATTTAAAAATAGCCAAGAATGTAAAATTTCAACATACGTTTTTCTAGTGAGAAAAAAATAATAGACAAAATACAAAAACACAAATTATACAGATTTTACTCTTTTATTGATAAAAACTTTATTCTACTGATGTAAGAACAGACAAAACCACAGTTTTTGTTCGTTATTGAGTCTATTACATTTAATTAAAATTAATTTTTAATGTTAGTTATGTACAAATTACAAAATATAAAGAAATAATTATATATATACTTTCACATAACCAATTTTTTTTTGTATGGTAAGGATATCAGTGGTGATTTTTGTAAATATAGGTCTAACTGTAACAAAAAAAAAACATATGAGTAAAAATGAAGACAATTTTAAAAAAATTCCAAATAATAATAATATAACGTTTGTTTGTATATTCCAAACTTTTTTTTTTTCAAAATATTTAGTGCATTATCTTTTTTTTTTATTAATTTTACTTATAATTAAAAATTATATTTCATAAAATTTATTACACAACTCTTCGTAAAAAAGAAGATCTATTTTACTTTAAATGTAATGTTAGTCAATAGAATCTTCATTTAGAAACTTGAATTTTTAACCTATTATCTAGTAATTTCAATAGCCAATTTTCATAAAATCAATTTATAAATCTATACATTATTCAACAGATTATGTTATAATGATGTGACTTGTTATTATTTTTAAAATGGGCATCAATTAATAACATCTTTAACTAGTTGACTTTTTAAATGCTATTCAATTGACAATATAATGATGTGGATATATTACATTATTTAAAATTATTATTATTACTAAAAATAGCTCACAACGCTATTTATATCACGATTTCTCTTTTTCAAATATTAAAATTGCAAAAAATACATATATCTATGTAATCGCCATTCTTTACAATCAGACATACTTGGAAATCTATATTTTTGTAAATAAGATTAACGTATTAATGATTTCAACACGATTATACATTATAATCATAATTATACAATATCGTAATCAGTATAACGTATATGTTAACTTGTTAATTCGTTAATTCGTTAGCACTATTTAGAAAATTAAAGATCAAATAATAATTATGCAGAGTAGTCATTATTCTAATATAATTTGGAAACAAAATTGCATGAGTTGATCAAGTTTTTGTTTATACTAAAACTATCACAACATAATTTATTTTGTATTTATGCCGGAACATTAATATTAAAATATATTTTAAGGCTAATAGCTTTAAGTTAGTTAAATTATGAAAATATTTCAATAAAGGACATGAATAAGTGTTTGAGTAAAAATAGGAGAAAATGAAATATATTCCAATCATATAATAATATACAGCTTATAAGTCATCCTGGTTTTCTAAATATAAGTAACATAATAACTAGTATTTATTTAATATGTATCATTGACTAGAATTGAATGATTCGGTTATAAAAACCGAAGTATTGTATTATCAATTGAAAGTTTAAGCAAGTTATTATATAATACATCTAAAATTAATTAAAATAAACACAACGAGTCATCCATATATAATTCATAGATAAAGACATTTAACTGTACACAAAAAATCGTATAATTTACAAAATATAGGACATTGTCGAAATTTAGAGGATTCCCACTCAAAAGTATTGAGCTAAAATATGATATATTACGAAAACACACTATTGATCAGCTGCTTAGTTTTAGCATCAAATTATGTTAAAAGAGTTTGATAACACAATGACGGCATTTATGATAGTGATAATGAAATACTAATAAATGATGTATGATAAAATAACTATGATATCCTGTTGATACGTGGTCTATTGTTTACTCTATTATTTTATATCATCATTAGTGAACTTATTAATTTTTTTGCATAAGATTAAGCAAAATTTATTTTTCACATTTCATTACCTCTATAGTTTTATTCGTGACAATGTATTCCACTTAAATGGCAAACATCACGAGTCACTTGACGTCTATTTTCCTTTCATTTTCTTGTTGATGATTTCTTTGTTAGAAACCTTGACAAACAAGATTCCCGTTATTTCTAAGTGTTTCTTAGTTTACATCTGATCTGATTTGATTAATTTGTTACTAAAAATTTGATATAGTTGTGAATCTAATATCATTTTGATATATACGTAAAAAGATAGCTGACATGCATAATTGTATAAACGTGATACTAAAGTAATAATATCAATTTATTAACATTAATTGAATAACTAAGTTAAAATTATTTCAAGACGATAATACATTTAGTTGTTCATTTTTTTTTTGGTGGTTCATAATTCTACGAATGTATACCAAATGGCTGTACGAACATTAAACAAAAATGTAAGTCTAGTTCTTCATATTTTTAGTCTCTAATACTTTATCTTACTAAAACTGTAATAATTACTATAATCCTTAATTTTATGATAAGCTTGAAAAAATTAGTACTTGAAATATCTATAATTAATTACTCTGTAGATTAAAAAATATAATAGAAGTTATTTATTAGTGAAAATTTTCCTATTTATAAATATTAGACAATTTTTTATCTGAAATGCAAATGAGTCTATATTGTTATTAATTTTGACGTTGAAGCAAAAGCATTTTTTCTCTAAAAAATGTACTAAAACTGCTAAATTAGATGTTTAACTCGGTTAATATGTATCGAACAAACTAAAGATCGAATATACATAAATTTTTACATGGATATACACTAAATAGTGAAATTTGATAAAAGTAGATTTAGACTTTTCTGCTTCTAAGATATAGATTTAAGATTGAATGTTATTTTAATTTTTCAAATTATTTCTTTTATAAAAATATATATTTGATTCTATGAGAACATTTTAGTATTATGTATCTCATATAAGTTATAATATATGATATGTTTTTTTATGATATATATTATTTAATCTATTTCTAGGATTGCAGCTGTGAGCAGACTAATTTACACTTGCATGCTGAAATTGAAAATCTAAAACAAAAAATTTTGGAAAGAGAAAATCACATTCTGAGTATGGAAACCAATTTCCTTTGCGAAGCTGAAAAATTTCCACATGGTGAATATGCTGCTCTAACTGATGAAGTTTTAATGTGGCAAGATAAATATAGAAGGTAATAATTAATTTATAAGGTATTACACAATGTTCTATAAGAAAAGCATGTGGATTAGTCAAAACATTGTGGGACACTCTGCATATATATTTAATATTATAAAATTTTATAAAGAAGTAACATTTTATAATTTATATCTAAAACTTTCATTTAGTATCAATAATTAAAATTATGACCTAAGTTTACCCAAAATTAATAATATTAGAAATTATATTATTTGTAGCTTAAAATATTGATATTGTAGTAAAATGATTTACAATAAAAATTTGTTTATTTTATATAAATTTTTTTTGAAATTAGATTATTAGAATCTCATAAAAGAATACAGCGTGTTAACCAAAGCTTGGAAGATAAATTATTACTGCTTGTTGATAAAACAGAAACTGAAAAAAATGTATTAAATTCTGAAATCCAAGGTCTTTCTCGAAAAATTGTTGATCAACAACTACAAATTAATCAATTGAATGATGAAAATGTAAGTTGTATTATTTTCCTATTATTACATTTTTGGTTAAATTGTTTTTTCTTTTTTTTAGGAACGCTACAAAAATGATCTAAATATTGCTATTCAATTACTACAATGTAAACCACCATCACATTTTGTTTCTCAGAAATATGATAATGTAAGTATAGCTCAAACTAGTAAACTATTCTTAATAACATAACCAATTATAATATCATATAGATACAGTTTTTGAATAACTGAGTTAAGTATGTAATTGTCTAGTTTTGTTGTATAATTAAGTACTGACTTTGGTTAACATTTTTTTGTTGAATAAAATTAAAGATTTTAAAATCTTAAAAATTTTATTAGTACTTTTGTTAATACAGCAAAATAACATAATATGCATATGTATGTAAATTTCAGCTGTATATTAAAATAAAACTTTTTGATTTGTTAAAATTAATAATTTTTTCAATTACTTATTTTTATTCTAACCATAAATTTATCAGTAATTTCTCATTTATTTTTTTAAAACTGAAGTATAATTTTATCATTATAGTGAGTAGTATTAGTTAATTGATTTTGTATTCCTATTTTGTGTTATCATTAGTTACCTGGTGAAATGCAATCTAAAGTCCGTAGTTATATTTATAACAAACAGCGTAGACTGTCAGATGGCAATGGAAATATGTCTCCAAAGTCTGAAGGCAAAACTATTAAAGTGCCAATTACTACCTTTCCCCCAACAGCTATGGTTTATTCATTAAACAATGGTAAATTAAAACATTTATAATTTTATGGCTTTTTCTTTAAAAAGACAATAATCTTTATGTAAAAATTGCTTTCAAAATAATAATGATATAAATTAAAATATTAATTTATTTTAGATACAAAAGTGAAAGATGTTGAAGATGGTCCAACTCAACCCCCTGTAAATAGTGTCTCAGCAGCTATTATAGCCAAAGTTTTAGAAGAAAGAATCAAAGAACGACTTACTCAACGTCATTGCTCCTCTTGTTCATGTGAAACTAAAAATGAAACCGAGCACTTTAATAATGCTTTACCATGTTCTGAGTTCTCTGAAAAAAGACGCTCATATGTTAGACACTCTAAAAGATACTCAAACAAAAGCTCAGAATCTCCAATATCAGAACCTGATCTTATACACTTTGATAATACAATGTCAATTGGAGATTCATCTGAAAGTGGTAGTAAACTGCATGTAGCTAGATCAAGACTATGTTCTGTGCGTCTCCAAGAAGGCAGTAATAATATATTGTTAGACAATGCAGCAACACCATATTCTGGACCTATATTGTACAAAAGTCGTTCTTCAAGTGGTGAATTTGATGAACCATTAGTACACTCGCAAAAATCAATTGATCGAAATTCTCATATAAATGAACATACTCGTATATTAATCTCAGATGAAGAAATAATTTAAAATTGATTAGGTAATTTTTCACTTTTAGGTAACCATGAAAAAAAAATGTGATATCATTCAAACTTTTACTCTTGACTATTTTGTATAGCAAATATGTAAACTTTTAATTTTATATATTCAAATATTTTATAAATTTAATAATAAATTTATATTAAAAAATAATTTATAAACATCTTCATAATACTACAATAGTAAAAACATTTAAATATGTATTGTTTAATAAAACCATATTCGCTTAATGTGCTTCATTAAAATATAGAGTATTAATATTTTGTTGTTTATATTGCAATAGTATGTAATTCAGTTCTAACTTTACGTACTTTGATAAAAAGAAATTTAACTTTCATTATTTACAGTGTAACCTGACAAAAAGAAATGAAAAATAAAAGTTCAAAATACTTATTTTATAAGTATCTGTAAAAATAAACATTTAACAAATTTTGATATGTGCATTATTATAAAATAATTTACTTTTTTTTTCATTAGACTTATGTTTTATGAATTGTGATATAGTTATTCTATTTACAATTAATTGAATTCCTCAACCATTAATGTGTGTATATTTTAATGCAATATATTGGATAAAAATATAATAATTATATTTTTATCCAATATATGTTACAATTATTGTAACATGCACTACATATACTTTAAAAAATTCTTTATAAAAGATGCTGCTAAAAGAAAAAGATGTATAACTGTAGTTTCAGAGTATTATTGGAATACATCAATTTTATATTAAATGTTCTAATAATTTAATTATTATTTAATTGAAAAATATTATATACCTATACTAATAAAATAAAATAATGTGAAATACATTTCAGTGTAGATCGTGTTAATCTACATTAAATTATTATTTTAAAACATACAATTTTGTTTATTTGTAAAAGTATATTTAATAAAAAAGTCAGATAGCAAAAACACATTTAACTAGATTTAGATTTATTTATGTAAAAGGAATAAGAATAACTTATGTCATTTTTTTTCAAAAGCTGTGACTCATTACTATATAGATTTATTATATTTTAAGGCAATGCTTGGTGATATTATTATGATAACTATAATTATCTAAAATCTAAGATAAAATCAAATAATATTGTACTTTTTATTTTATTTTTTCGGAAAAAAACATCCTCATTTAAAATTAAAATTTTGATTAAAAATTAAAAATGATTAAATCTATTAATGTTTATTTTTAAATAAAACAATATAATAGTAGTAAAAATATTTTATCTTATTTAAACTTTTTTATATGTAAGGTATTCTCCATTATTTTTTGAATCCATATATTGTTAAGTTCATTTTACCTTAAATTCGTTTATACTACGAATTATTTTCTAATCCAGTGATAGGTAACAAACTTTATTCCTTTAATTAAAATTTGAAATTTTTCTTATGGATATTTTGGATGAGAAACATAAATAAAAAATTTTTGAATTTAAAGTCACAGTTTTAAATAATACAACTCAAGTTAATTTTATTAATTAAAATTATATTACAATAATATATTTAAAACAGACAATAGTAAAATTATTGAAAATTTGGAGTAGGTTCTGTATCCGTCTGATAAGAAAGGATAGAAAAAGTCTTCAGGAAGCCTAAATTCGTAAGTAGGTGGATCAGCGAATTCTCTTATTGGAGCTTTAGTAAGGTCTACAAATTTTACACTGTTTATTATTGGAATCTCAAAAGTCGTTTTTTCATTATCTATTTCATAGCCATTATAGTGAATTGAAGAAAAATTTACTAAAATACCATGAATTGTTGCTTGTGGATTCTCAAACGAACCAACATTTGAGAAAAATACTTTCATACTAATCCTATTGACAACGTTTTTACATTGGTCACTTATTGTAGGTTTAAGAACCATAATAGGAATCCACTTGGACACATTTGGATCACCCATACTGCTAACCATTAAATCATCATAACTTCCCAACATTAAAATTATCTAAGAAAAAAAAATGTCTTCGTTTAATTGTACTTTTCGCCTTAAACAGTACTTAACTATACTTCAATACACTATATGTATACTTAAAAAATTATTAATTACCTTAGCCTGTAATTTTTGACAAAAATCAATAGATGTTATTGATTCTTTTTTTTTCCACCGAAAAACACACGTGGTCTTGACATTATAATTGAAATCTACCAATAACTTAGAATTGGAATCACAAGCTCGACTCTCAGATGTTGGTACACTCAAAAATTGAACTTCGTTAGGTTTACTCTGTTTATGTTTTATAATCACTGGTTTTCCCTGTATGTAGCCTGGTTTTCCACTGAGTGGGTAAGAGTTGATATTTTGATTGGCCCATTTGAATTTTACCTTAAATTGTTGCCTAAAATACATAGGTGTTTTTTGTCCTTCGTTGGACAAATCTTGATAAAAAAAATACACATCCAAATTCTTAACACCGCGAGTACCATTATGTTGGAAAACATACTCAACAGTCTCTACAACGTTACGACACGTAGATCCATCTATGCTGAACACAGGAGTTGGTGGATTAATTTGCTCTATGGAGCAATTGTAAGAACCATTCATTACCAAGAAACAATGATGCACAACAGCCTTTAAGTTAACTAATTCAATTTTCTACAATCAATAATTTATGATTAAATTATTCAATACAATAACAAATGCATCCTTTATAGGATGCATTTTATAAAATTCTATATATGTTTATAGAATTTTATAAAATTTATTTATTTTTTTCAAATAAAATATATTTAACCATTTTGAATACTCAATACATACTCGTATTTACATATAGGAAATAGGGTGGTCCTTATCTAAATAGGTCTTTTTTTTTTATTAAATTCAATCAGGACGCCCTATAGAATTGTTCTATAGGTTAAAAAAATATAGTTTGTGAAGTTTCGTGATTGTCCAATGATTTTTTCCCGTGCCGCAGAAGGGTTGAAATTTAATAAATAGGGGTAAAAATTGTTAAATTTTACTTGAATCAAAAAAATTTACTGAATAAAATTTGTTTAAAAATGTATTTCCAATAAAATATATTTTCTAGATCACAATAACAGTAAAATAGTGTTATCGTAATAATCGTAACGATTTTAACGTATTTCTTCATTTCATACAAACAGCTTGATGTAAAAAAATTCACAATCAGATTAAAATCATAATGCTAGTGATTGATTTTTAAATCACTTTTGCGCTGCACAATGTACATATTCGTAGGAAAGACTTAAATTTAGAAAATATTTACTAATCATTATTTGTACATAATTTTCAAATTTAAATTTTATAATTTATATATATTATTTTGTAAAAATTTATGGATAACACTAATAAAGACTGAATTATGTAAAAAATTAGAATCCGGGAAAATTGGCGTATTTATGTGTTTTATTAATTATTCAGTTAAATATGCATTATACAGTAAAAAATAATATAATATATTTTATAGGAAATACATTTTTAAACAAATTTTATTCAGTAAATTTTTTTGATTCAAGTAAAATTTAATAATTTTTACCCCTATTTATTAAATTTCAACCCTTCTGCGTAACGGGAAAAAATCATTGAACAATCACGAAACTTCACAAAATATATTTTTTTAACCTATAGAACAATTTTAGGTGGCGTCCGGACAAAAAAAAACTTTGAAAAATAAGAACCACCCTAATAAGCAGAATAGTGCCTACAGCAGCAAATTTTGAGGGGCGGCTTTTATTTCATTAATTATAATAATTACGTATTGTTAATAAAAAGGTATATTTTTAATAACAACGAAAAAATTAAGATCGGGATCACTACGTACTGTGAACATTTTTTATATGCATACTAGTAAAAATTTGCAAATACACTCCTGCCTACACTTAATGGTTAAACTTTTTTTTTTAATTTCATGCTAACCTCAGTTTTTGATGAGTAATCATAAATTGGATGGGAAACTTTAAATCCACGATCAACACAAAATCTATTAAAGCTCAAAATAGAATTATTTTTACAAGATTCAGTCAAGTTTTGAATATACACGTCACAGGATGTGTCTTTGTCTACAAGATACTCAACCAAATCGTCGACACTACATAATGAATCAAACGCACTATTTTTAAGACCTGTAACATATAATTTTCACTATTATTAAGTAATTAAATATAATAACTTGAATTCTTACTGAAAGCTGCAGATTCATTAGTGTTTCTATTAGAATAAACAAATATCCAATGCAATGATTTGTAAACTAAATTAAGTCGATGACTTAAATGGTTAGTTAAAGTATTGTCAACATGCAATTCAATTACATTTCGATTACGAAGTACTGACTGCACTTGTGTTTCCGTTTCAATTGGCTAAAAAATTAAATTACAGATGGTCAATATTTTATTAAAATATATAAACCATTAAAGTTTTAAAAATTAAACAAAAATATTTCAACAAATCGTGGAATTAAAACCGAATATTCTATCTCTTGTGAATATTATGCAAGTTATTGAACTTTTTAGTTCTTATACAGCTAAATAAAGCATTCTTCGTTATAGAGAAAAACATATATTATTATCAACATTTTTATTTAGTACAAAAAATGGCGCATATTGACACGTATAAAATAAAAATGTTCGTAATCAAAATTAAATCGAAATTTTTTAATATTTACTTAAAATCCTATTAAAAATTGTTTAACTTATTCACTTACTTCTCGTTCTGGATAGAAGTAGTTGGAGGGTACATTATCTACAATGACATAAAACAATGATGAGTCAAACAAAATCGATTTTAATTTTATTATCCCCCAAATAACTTCAGTGGAACATAATGTAAACGTTTTTAAATCACTGATTGAACATTCGGAATCACAACAGCAGTTTAGATCACAACTACCAAACTAGAATGATTAATATAAGTTTAGTTAAGATTATGCTGATCTTTTTGTTTCACATAAACTTACAGTTAAATCACAACTGCAGTACTTATCAGTCAAAATCTTTAAAGATACTGGGTTGTTTTTGGTAGCACCTATAATGGTCGTAGCAACAGTAGTAGTGATTGCTGTTGTGGTCTTAGCGGAAGTCACCATAGAGGTACCTGTGGTTTCTTTATTGTTACTAGGGGTCGTGACGGTGTTGTTGGATAGTTCAATATTAGTTTTAATTACAACAAAAGGCACTCCATAGCTAGAATGATTTGTTGAAGATTCATTAGAATGAAAAATTGGAGATTCGATCTCAAAAGGTTTAACGACATCAGTTCCGTTTTCAATTGTTACGTTATAATTAAACGCGTTACTATCGGCAGTGTTGTTAACCACTAAGGATGATGGTATAGCTGTATTAGATTTTTGGGTCGAGACGGCTTTATTACTGCTAGNTTTTAGATTTTTGGGTTGAGACGGCTTTATTACTGCTAGGGGTTGTCACAGTGTCATTAGTTGATTCAAAATTAGTCTTCATTTTTACAGTATCGTTTGCAGTTGTCAAATTATACTTAATAGTGTGATTATGCTCAGTTTTATTAACGGCTAATGATATTACAGTAGTTTTCGTTTTTTGGGTGGTAGTTGCCAATTGGACATTTTTTACAGTGCTAGGTCCTTGAATAGCTTCGACAACAGCCACGGCCAAAGCAAAACAAACGATATAGACAGTAGTCATCGTTATAGCTCTACACCGTACTTTCGAAAGTTTCGGGCGATAATGTTCAACTCAAAGTGTACTACTCCGAGAGCTTCGGTTTGTAAACGATAGCGATCTGTGCCACAATAAACGAAGTCGGGTGTTTTTAATTGAGCGCCTCCTCCCAAAAAAAATCGCCGGAATTCGTCTTTCCAACTACCTAGAGTAAAAGTAATTTTTTAAAAAAAACTTAATCCTCAATTATTATTTGGAGTTATATGTGTATTGAAAATGTTTCAATGCAATTTTTTATAGAGCACAAAAATACAATGTAGAAATACATTTATAGAATATTTATTTATTTTTTATTATTAAAGAAATAAAAATGTATTTACATACCTATTGGGCGCCAAGTATAGCATTCAACTGTATGAGTGCCCGGTGATGTTGGTACATAACAAAATCCGTAACCGTATATTTCACTACGACCGTACCTGTCGTAGTGATATATTTGAACGTGAAATTTTGGCCAACCTAAACATAAGAATCAATTTGGTAGGTGTCCTAGTAGGTTTTGACACATTTAATAACTTTTGATGCAGCATATAATAGGCGTTACTTTTTTTTTTTATAATTTATAGACTACGTTAAATCGTATTTTTTATACTCTACAAGAAAAAATAAAAATACAATTTTTTCATTATTTTTTTTTTATTTTTTTTTTGAAATTTTAAAATAGACATTTTTTAGCTCGTTTCTTACCATAAAAACTGATGGGTTGGTAACAATTTTAAGATAAGACTTATTGAGTTACAAGCATTTTAATACATAGAATGAGTATGTAGTCCATGTCGCAGAAGTGTTCGTTTTATATTTATAATACTCCCCCGTGCTGCATATACATCAGTACAAGCTTTGCTCATCCGCGATACTTACTCGCTTATTGTGATGGAATGCTTGTAACTTAATAAGTGTCTTAAAATAGCTATTTTGAAATTTTTACAAATTTAATTATTTCTTATTAGAGTAAAATATTAAAAAAATAACACAAATATACAGGTTTATCATAAACCGATCACTCTGTATATATATATGTATATATGTATATATGTATATATGTATATAAGTAATCAGTAAGTAAGAAAACGCGTTTCTATAATTCTCGTAGCTTGTTACCTGTTTCTTTACTTATTGAACATGCTGTATATATTTTTAATTTTATACGTCATTAAATACATTTTTCTATTATGATATTGTAATATGTTTTTTATTAGAGAAATTTTAAAACTAACTCTGGTTAGAAAATTTCACCGAAAACATTGAATTGTCAATAAAAATTATTTTATTAATATTTTACCTTGAATTCCTTTTGTAGAATAGTGGATATCTATAGGATGACACCACCAAGTACGACTATCGTAAGATGGAATATCAACTTGTGTTTGTCCTTCTTTATGACCAGCGATTATTTTCCAATTAGAACCTAAATAAATAATTTTCTATAATTTCAGAGAAGCTATATGTAGATTTATTGATAAAATAATAATTTGACATAATTCCGTTTCTATCTTATTTAATTATGGAAAAATAAAATGTACAAATGGAATAGAAAACTCCGTAAATTATTACAAAATGGGATTATGAATTTTCTATATAAAATGTTAATCTAAACAACATTTTATTATTTATATTAAGATATAAATAATTTTTGTATTTAGCCCGCAATTAAATTTCACGTTTATAAATTTTCATTTTATTTTCATATTTATTTACACGATTCGCACTGGATAAAAAAAATGATTTCTTAGTGGTATTTCATCTTATAGGGTCGCTTAAATTACATTTAAATATTTTCTATTGATATTGAATATTGATTGTATACATTACTTAATAAATTATTGCAAAATAAATCTGAAATGTTTTACAAGTTCGAAAATCTATATTTTTATCATTTATATTTAAATTACCAGCATGAATGCTCCATTTGCAGAATAAGCTTTTTGAAGGAAATTGTTCGGCGTCGGAAAGCTGTCCTATTATAAAAAGTTCAGCCATAATACACAGGCATGATTAATATTACACGAATTAACACTTACTCAAAAAACTACTTTCTGGCTATACATAATCCCAAACACTACATCGAAATGCATGTACTTGTTGCTAGGTAACTACCGGCGTTACGACAATAACATTACGTCATAACAACAACAATATTGAAATAAAAAACGAACCTTTTTTTTACTTAAAAGAAGTAATACTAAATATAACCAAATATTAACTTAAATTTAATTTGCTAATTAGTCTAAAATTTTGAATATTACTATAATAACATAAAGGAAATCATTTAATATTTAATAAAAATTGTTTTTATTAGCTTGTCTAATATTTTTTTTTCAAAAAACAGTGGCATATTTACGAGAAGTTTGGTCATAATCTAACGCCGTAGATAAACGGATTGGTTGACAATACGTGCGCTCTCTTCAGACAATACCAATCTAATTGGTGTTAACCAACCAAACGGTTGTAAAAAAAAATTTGGACATAAAATTATGTTAGCAGAGAAGTGAAGTTCCCCACTACACTACGTTCTATAAGCTATCTAGACCCCTTCACACAAATTCCTAAATATGCTACTGTCTAAAAACATTTCAAATTATTTAAAATATGTCGGTGTTTAAAACTTTTATTTATTATTTAAAATATATTTAAAACATACAATTTTTTAAAAAAAAAAACTAAATTTTTGTATACTTTTTGATAAATATATAGTCACTTAGTTAAATTGACAGTATTCGATTTAAAATTTAAAAAAGTTCACTAAATTATAACCATCAAGTATTATTTTGTATATTCAATAATTGAATATACAGGACATTTATCACAGTAAAAATTATTCTCTCTATAATTCAAATGTTTTGTTCAATTGTAATCTTTACTATAATTATTTGTTACATATGATGGAAAAGTTTTTGGGCTATTGCAATGTTTGTATTCTTTGTTAAATGTTTTTCGTTTAATGCGCTGTTTCAGTTTTACGAGACCATCCATATAAGATTTATTCTCTCTGAAATTAACATTTAGTAAGAATAAAATTCATCTGAAATTAATGTTTCATCAGATTTATTATCGAGATCAAAAAAAAATTATAAAATTATAATAATATTAGGAATATTATAAACGTTACTAATTGTTATTGTAATAAAAATATATCTCAGCCTGGTAATTATAATTGATAAAAACTATCAAATAAAACTTGGACCGTATTTCGGTTTAGAAAGACTATTTAACTGTCTATGGCCCAAAATTATTGTAAACTAATATCACAGTTATGAGTGAAACTACTAAAACTTTTATTTGTTTCTAAAATGAATAATTATCTTTCTGTAAAATACATATAATGAAAGTCTTTTTTTAATAAATATCGGAGCTACCATCGATTTATTGGCTCATATTTAATTTTTTTGTTTAATATTATCATTTCAATTTTTAAAATAAAAATTGTACACTGTAAGAAATGATCCAAAAATGTCCAAATGTCAGTATATTTTTTGCATACACGTTAATTTTATACACAAGTAGTGTAATTTCGACATAAAGTATTGAAAATTTGTAATGAAATATAATATTTTCATTTCTATTTATCATTATTCTCTCTTACATTGTATGCATTAAAATCTTTTAATTCTATTTCTATTCTAAATCTTCGCCAAGAGATAGACGTCGATATTATGGTGTTATTTAAATATGTATAAAAAAACAGCATAATATGCTTTTCACCAAGTAAATTAAATGAAGTACGACTTTAACTTCCATTGAAATTAGTCTTACTTATTTTCTTATTAGTAATAGGTAATTATTGTTCTTGTTAGAAGTTATAGTAAGTTATTTCTATCCTTGTTAAATTTCTAATTTTTTATGAAATCACAGATTTACTTATTTCTATGAAATTAAGTATCAATGAGGTGAAACATATTTGTTAATGTACATTTCCTTATTAAATACTTAAAAACACATATTTTTATCTCCAATTGTTTTTATTTGTTTTCATGATTACATTGAAAATATTTATTTTAGAATTAAATTTTCTATTGCTGTTTTGCTCAGAATGTTAAAATGGTAGACTAGATTTTAGTCGAATATAAATTTATAATTATTTTCTTTAGTCCGATTATTATACTTAATATTAATATAAATATTATATTCTCAGAAGTCCTTGAAACTCCTATTAAAAACGCTTACTCAACCCCATTAAGTATAAGTATACTTATCAAGTACACGCTATAAATTTGGTCATTGTTTGCTTATTATTATAGGTAAAACTTTGACAAGGTTTTATAAGAAAACTGGGTTGGGTTAAAAGATACTCCGCGCCAATACCGCTTCTTTTTGACAATATAACTAATACATTTAAAATTTGATGCATTTTATAATTTATAGAATGCTTGTTTCTAAAAACGTATTGATAATCTCAAATTATTTTTCCTTCTGTGCAAAATAATTAACAATTATTTTATCATTACAAATATATACATATAAAAAAACCCTGCTGATTTATTTGATTTCTACTTAAATACTTGTCCTGGTCAAGGTTCAAGGACTATCAGAACTAAAGAAGCTATTTTAATTACTTAGGCGGAATTGCGTTGTAAAATTAAATTGAAATAAATGTAATAAAAAATAAACCCAGCACAGTGGGGTAGCGGCACAGTGGGGTCGTGGCATAGTTGGATCCAGTATAGATGATATCTGACAGTGATTAAAATCATTATCATAAAAAACCATCCCGATAAAAGGTGATTTTTATCGCAAACATTACATTTTTTTTTAATTTTCGTGAGCCATTTGCACATAGAAAATAAGATGTCAGAACAAATTTTTTTTTTTCATTTGATAGTATATAACATAACCTTTGATTTGATATATGTTTAAAGGACGCAGTATTTCCGGAACATTTTCAAAAGTTCAGTTGAAAAAGATCTATGTTTTTTACAATATTTCAAGTTCTAAATGCCCCTATATAAGGGGAAATTATCCAATTTTAATAAAAAAGTATGTCAAATGAAAGATGTACTTATAATGTATTTAGAAAAAAAAAAATTGTGCTGATATATACATTTTTCAAAAAGTTATAGCATTTTTAAGTTGAAAATTTAAAATCGAAAATCGAAAATTTTAACACAAAAATAGTGTTTTTTTAACTACGGCAGCCGTTTAAATGTAGAAAAAAAAGTGTCGGGACAAATTTTTTTTTTTCATTTTGTAGTACATAAAATAAGCTTTAATTTGATATATGTTTAAAGGACGCAGTATTTCCGGAACATTTTCAAAAATTAAGTTGAAAAAGTTATTTTTTGTAAAAAAGTTACTATTTTAAATCCTCCCAGTGAGCAGAATAAGTGTTAGATTTTCAAAAAAAATTATATCAAATGAAAGGGAAATATCTAAGGTTTCAATACAAAAAAATATTATTTTTATTTGTTCATTTTTGAAAAAGTTATGGCAGTTTTAAGTACAAAAAACATCCCGATAAAATGTAATTTTTATCGCAAACATTACATTTTTTTTTAAATTTTCGACAGCCATTTGCACATAGAAGATAAGATGTCGGGACAAATTTTTTTTTTTCATTTGATAGTATATAACATAACCTTTGATTTGATATATGTTTAAAGGACGCAGTATTTCCGGAACATTTTCAAAAGTTCAGTTGAAAAAGATCTATGTTTTTTACAATATTTTAAGTTTTGAACGCCCCCTATATAAGGAGAAATTGTCCAATTTTAATAAAAAGTATGTCAAATGAAAGATGTACTTATAATGTATTTAGAAAAAAAAAATTTGTGCTGATATATACATTTTTCAAAAAGTTATAGCATTTTTAAGTTGAAAATTTAAAATCGAAAATCGAAAATTTTAACAAAAAATAGTGTTTTTTAACTACGACAGCCGTTTACGTGCAGAAAAAAAAGTGTCGGTACAAATTTTTTTTTTTCATTTTATAGTACATAAAAGAAGCTTTAATTTGACCACATAGTAAAATAATATTAATATGAATTTCTTCTCACGAGAGGAGACTACATTAATGGAATCCTTGATATTTATTGAAGTTATTGAATCTAAATGAGATAAAACTCAAAACGAATTAAAAAAAAATTCTGTGCCAAAGTCGTGAAAGACCCAAGTGTTACCGCCTCAGAAACCGTACATTTCATTCGTCACTTAATAAAAATGGAAATTTAGCTAGTTCAAATTTTAAAGTTATTTTTCTCGACTTCAAAGAAACAAAAAAATTTAAATATGATTAATTTTTTATACTATGTCAATTAGATTGATATAATATTTATGAAAATCAGTTTAATCCCCTTATAATAAACTAAAATACAAAACCAAGAATTTTAACACAATAATAGCATATTTTTGAATACGGTAGCCATTTGCGCATAGAAGATAGGTCGTCGGGACAAATTTTTTTTTTTCATTTTATAGTACATAAAATAAGCTTTAATTTNTCATTTTATAGTACATAAAAAAGCTTTAATTTGATATATGTTTGATAGACGCAGTATTTCCGGAACATTTTCAAAAATTAAGTTGAAAAAGTTAATTTTTGTAAAAAAGTTGCTATTTTAAATCCCCCCCAATGAGCAGGATAAGTGATAGATTTTCAAAAAAATGATATTAAATGAAAGGTAAATATCAATATAAAAAAAAATAATATTGATTTGTTAATATTTGATTAAGTTATGGTAGTTTTAAGAAAAAAAAGTGAAAAAATTTCAATTTTTAAGGCTAATGTCTCCAACTAGATATGATTTGTGATCTTTTGACGTATTTTTGAAAGAAATCGGTCCAGTGAGAGCTGAGAAAAGTGGCAACAAGCATAAAAAAAAAAAAAAAACACATCATAGTAAATACCTTCTCAGCTTTGCATCGAAGCTAAAATTCATTAAGGTAATATAATATATTATAATATCGGTATATCAAATGAACTTTTATTTACTATACATATATTAGTACATTAAAGTCATAAACTATAGTAATAACTGTCAAATTTTGTTTTTTACATATTTATTTTGAATCCAAATGATATGTTCTTTTAATTCAGTGAAGAAAGCAATTGAATCATTGGAATATGTATAAAAATTACTTACAATTCCTTTTAAATAATATTTACCCTTATGTTGGAACGATAAACCAGATCCGCTATCTCCTTGTTGCACTCCTGAATCTGACACTGAAACAAACAATTTTATATCAATTTCATAAATTATATTTTTATCTTATAAGCAGTATTGACTCCATTTTCATAAAAAAAGATAATTATTGCGGCATATTACAAATAAATAAGAAAATAAATGAAAACCATATAGAAATTTACCATTTGTTGAACCAGCACAAATATGATCGGTAACATTTGTTCTCATATATATTTTACAACTCGTATTATTAATAAATGGTAATTCAGCTGTTAATAATGTGTCACTATATTTCTCTTTGAATTTATCTATTTTTCCCCATCCTGCAACCTAAAAAAAGATGTTATGTAATTAATAAACCCCGATTTCTTTAAAAATACGTCAAAAGATCACACATCGTATCTAGTTAGAGACATTACCCTTAAAAATTGAAAACAATTCCCTCTTCCCCGCAAATGGGGGAAATATCCAAAAAAATTACAAATTTAAAAATCGCTAATTTTTGAAATTTTATCACTTTTTTTTCTTAAAACTTCCATAACTTTTTGAAAAATCAACAAATCAACATAATTTTTTTTTATACTAAAACCTTAGATATTTACCTTTCATTT